CCCCGCGTTCGCTGCCTCCCCCCCGGCAGCGCTCGGCGGCGGCCTCTGCCGGCGCAGGAGAGCGGGCTGAAGCGCTCTGCCCCGGGCGAATGGTTCTCCCGGGCTGCTGCCCTCCCTGCGCCGGGCTCCGGCTGGGCCCCCCGGCTCCTTCTCTCCGGGCCCTACAACAGCAGCCGCAGAGGCAACTTTGTAAATGGGCGGGTTAGAGCCTTTTAGGTGCCTCAGGGGTTTTGTCCTGCGCAAGGTGGAATATTGCGTGCTTGTTCGGCGTTAGCCTTGACTTTAATTGTTGGAAGGGGTGGCTGAGCAGCACCTAGCTCTTTAAATCTGCGGGGTGTGAGCGAGTCACTTCTCAATTCCTCCCCATGTGATTCATAACGTTTTCAACTCCAGGATGCGTTTTCCCAAATTCATACTAGGTTTTGATACCTCAGCTATTAGCAAGGGCATCGGTTTGAGTCCATAGAAGCAGAAGTTTTACTGCATTATTGAAAACAGTAGCTACAAAGGAATTCCCCAAAGGGAGATCTATAAAACCTGCTTCTACCATTTTTATTTACACTGCAGCAAAGCAGCACTGGGTGCATCTACACTTTTGCCTTCCCTCATTTCCTAGTCATTGTGGCACTGAAGAGCATTATAAACAACTCTGCATTGTTTGTTGGTATTATAGTAAGGCCTGAGGGCTTGGTAATGGTTTCTTTCATTCATGGCTCTCATAATGCTTCGCAGACATCAATTAAGACTGGGAGCCCTGCTGCAAGTCAGGGTGGTTTCATTGATCCCATGTTACAGATGGAGGAGCAGATCAGAGACATAGAAAGATTTAAGTCAGATCCAGAACCTAAGCCATCATCTCAGAGATCCTAAATCCTCTGTTTAGGGTGCTCTTCCTCACCTCCTCTAAAAAAATTCTCTCTTAGTTTCACTGGCCGCTTCAGGAGCTGTTTTGGGCACTGACAAGCCATGTATGCTTCGGGATTTTGAGTTACTGCTCTTGCATATTGCCAAAAATTATGTGCCTTTAGTGCCATACTGCTGAGAAGAATGGTTTCTGATTAAAATAAGTCTCTGATTGTTCTTTGGTTTGTACTGGGGGTAGAACCCAAGAGCTCCATCATGGAAGAGGGTGCATTAGCCAAGGCATTGTGCAGCCAGACAGCAAAGCACACACAGAGCTGATGAGCCAAATACAGAAAGCCTAGGTATCTGCTATGACTTCTTTGATGGCCTCCCTCACAAAGAGAGGGGGGGTCTCTCCTCACGAAGACTCTCTTTGAAGGGCATATTTCCAAAAGCAGTAAGTGGTTCCTATTGCAACTGTAACCCAGAAAACTCCTGATCCTAGGCTGTCTTTGAGTCTGTCCACTTGCTTTCACGGCCCAGACAGGAGATGGGCTGTGTTTGAGATTTACTTTCCATCCTTAGGCATTGCTTATGTTGATGTCCTTTAAGGCCTTTAACCAGAGAACCCCAGCTGCAGTCTCAGATTTAAGTCTTGCTGCCCTGTCTGTAGAGCACTGCACAAGACAACAATGGTAGCTCCAAAGCATTTATGAAGTTTTAAACTTCTTAAGCGTCACCTGTGTGAGAAAAGCCTACTGCAGACTAGGTGATGATGTGCAGCTCCCAGTAGTCACAGAGGGGAGGGAAAGCTTTTATGGCTTTTCCAGGTTTAATATCCATTGGGTGCTTGCTGAGTCTGATCTAGTCATACAAGGTGTTCTGGAAATCCTGATTTCTTAATATTTAAGTTTGTAGGAGATCACGGGCCACAGAAATGATCAGAGGGATGGAACACCTCTCCTATGAAGAAAGGCTGAGAGAGTTGGTGTTATTCAGCCTGGAGAAGAGAAGGCTCTGGGGACACCTTGTTGCGGCCTTTCAGTGCTTAAAGGGGGCTTGTAAAAAAGATGGGAACCGACTTTTTAGTAGGGCCTTTTGCAATAGGACAAGGGGTGATGGTTTTAAACTAAAGGATAGATTCAGACTGGATATAAGGAAGAAATTTGTTACCATGAGGGTGGTGGAGAAACTAAAAGAGGGTAGATTTAGACTAGATAAAAGGCAGAAATTTTTTACAACGAGAGTGGTGAAACACTGGAACGGGTTGCCCAGAGAGGTGGTAGATACCCCGTCCCTGGAAACATTCCAGGTTGGGTTGGACGGGGCTCTGAGCAGCCTGATGTGGTTGAAGATGTCCCTGCTCACTGCAGGGGGGTTGGACTAGATGACCTTTAAAGGTCCCTTCCAACCCAAAGCATTCTATGATTCTGTAAGTTCACTTTAAATACACACACACACACCCCCTCCCCAAGCCCCTCGGTGCTGTAGTTGCAAGAAGCATCGTTCCTTGCTGGCAGGCACGATATGGTATCACAGTTTGTTTCCTTTCCAGTGTTTCAGAGGACAGTTCTTTTAGAGAAGAGAGAGCAAGTGTAGCTCCAGGGCCTCCATGGCTGGGCATCAGCCAATTACTGTCATATCAGATTAGCTCTATGGCACATTAGCACTCGTTTATGTTAATACAAATGCAGCATGACTGTTCCATAGTATTGATGGAATTATTGTATTTACAGCCCTATAATATGACCAATTGAAAGGGAGGTTCTGATTACAAACCCATGGACTTCCAAGGTGAATTCCTTTTGCAGCTTCTGTATGGGCCAGTTTTGAACCATGAAGAAGAAATTAACTACTAGAAGATATAATCCAGTTTTTGTTTACCATTGATGCAGTTACCCTTTTGGCAAACTCTGGCAAAAAAAAAAAAAATAAATCCTGTATCAGAAAAGAAACACGAAGAACTTACGGGGTTTTTCTACCTTGCCATGATCCTGACTGTGCTACTGTAGCTACTTCTTGGCGTCTGAAAAAAGCTCTTACCTGTCTAGGCTCTGCAGTAATCTAGCCCTTGAAACCAGGGTTAAGATTTCCTCAGCTGCCACTGCAGCGCGTGAGCACATTCTCCTTGTCCAGAGCAGCTTGGCAGCAGCAGTCATGGGTGTTTGCGAGATGAGGAGGCATCACATGCGGCACTCTGTAGCCAGGATTGTAAAGCTGTCCACAGCTTGATGACTTTCCTGCTCACATGTCATCTGATGACATTCAAAGGATGTGCCCATTTGTCTCTGGGAATGAGCTAGGTACCTCTGGCCAGAATCTCCACAAGTTTTGCAGTCCCTGCTTCATAATTAGCTCAGCCTCATCTTCCAGCTGCTTGGCAGTTCGCAGCAGCCCTAACAGCTGGTTCCCGGCAGCCATTATCACCTTCCAGCACAGGAACAGCTTTAGTTCTGAGTCTTGGGAGGATGAACAGGGCTGGCAGGATCAGTGATATTAGGAAAAATAATGAAGGAGCAGAAAACAGGTGCAGGGGCGCAGGGAGGGAAGGTAGACTGAGAAACGTACATGATGAGAGGGGAAAATGAAGCGACAGGGAGGAGGCACTGCAAATCCCTGGACTTTGTGGGAGTTGCAGACCAAGTAGGATGCGGAAGGAGGCAGGGATCTCCTTGGCTTTTAGGAAAAGGTGAGGGATCTCTGCTGCTAGGGATGGATTGCGTTACTGCTGCCAGCCTGCTGCTCAGGCTTCAGAGCTGTTTGGCCAGCCTTGAGCCACTGCAGAGTCCCACGCAGCATTTGTTATTTCCAGAACACCCTGCTGTAAGTTACAGCAACAAAGGGTGAATAGCTCCGGGAACCGCACAGGAGTGCTGGGGTCAGTAGCCTTG